ACAAAACCCCCCCCCCCCCCCACATAATAGAAGACCTCCTCCCTTTAATTAATTACGAACTTTAATTAACGTTTTTCCATCAAAATATGCCTGGTTTTTAGCATTTTACGCTGGAAATATTAAGAGAATGTGCTCACAACTATAATGACACCCTTAAAACCTTAAAAAAAATCCTGATGGAAATCCTGAAAATCGCCTTAGTTTTCTGGAAAACTTTTTAAATTAAATATTAGGAAAAATGCGGTTCTTAATACAAGACCCCCCTGGAAATTTTTACGCTGAAACATAATAGAAGATTCAGGGTCTTTTATTGTTGGCGGGGGTAGTTCGTTTTTAGCACAACAAGAGATGATTCCAATGAATTCCTAATTACTTGACGACTCGATTATATTTTTGATTTATTCTGTGCATTAGAAGTTTCGGATATAGATCCTTTTCCTAAGAGTATATTCGAAAATGTTAACTATTTAGACATCATGTGAAAATTTTCGGTGATAATCATACTTTTTATCGTTTACAGGCTAATATTATTAATGTGTTAGTTGATGATAAGATAGAGCCAAAACCAAATGAACAAATGATGTGATTTCTCAAGTTTCTTGGCGTTCTCTGAGATTATTTCAAATATTCGATTTCTACTGATTTCGTTTGAAGTCCACTATTTTCTCTCGAGCTTAGTTTAAAACAAAAATATTCAAAAAAAACTCTACTGTTTGATCTATTTATGAATCATTCAAGGTGTCTCTATCAGTTTCATTCTTGGGAAGGACTTAAAAACAGAGTCATTTACCTCCAAAGTATATTCATTCCATCCAAGAACTGGCATCATTACCCAGATAAAAGTAATAGTGACAGCTACTGAAGCAATAATAATACATTTAGGGGCCTAAAAAGTCATTGTTTATTAGTAAAATTCGATTAACAGGTAATCTTACAGTAATAGCTTTTGCATGAAATGGTCGTACAATAATATAGCAGCGACTAAGACTAACTGCGCAAAGTAGATATGAACTTGAACATCCATATAAAGAAGTCATGATGCCTTCAAATTGGCATCCACCACGGTTGAATAGCCAATAACAGTAAATAGACGAACTACCTGCTAATGGAATTATGCTACATGAAGTAACAAGACCAATGATCGAAATAAACATTATAAATATATTAGGTGGTGTACGAAGAAATTTATATCGAGCAAAACTATAAACAAGTGCCCCGTTTAAAATAATACCGATAAATGCAGCAAGACATAAGCATATTCCAATGAGCCGTACAGCGTTGCAACTAAGAGGCGTTGGACGACTCCAAAATAATGGATTATCTGGAGATAAATAGTTGTTAACTGCTTTTGAATTATTATTCAACATCATCTGTGATACTATTTTGCAGACTAAAACAATGTGAAAAATACCGTGAAGTAATGTTTCTGTTGTTGTTTTTTTAGCGTGAAAACTTAAAATGAAATATGGCTTATTGATCATCAATAAACGGCAGTTCTACTACTTTGATGATTTCTATCTTCTATAGATAATATATTTAATCTAACTAATCGCAATAAATATGATCAATAGATTTCAATCACGACACATAAGGTATGAAAACCATAAGGCAAAGAAGAAGAAGAAAAAAAACATTCCAATCTGTTTTGTGTTATTTGAATATAAAATATAAAATATCTCACGCGATACTTTGAAATAGAGATAGAAGTCTATTGAGAATATATTCTATACTATTTAATACACATCAATACAGCGGTATAAGAATTAATCAAAACAAAAATACTGAAGTGTACTGTTGCATCAAAATGATAATAACCATAGACACATCACACTAATTTAGGTGAAAGAACATACAAATTCTATTTCCGTATATTAATAGACAAGGAAATAGAAGAAATAATATTTGAAGAAAAAAAAATTGGTTTTACTGTTGAAAATAATAATGTATACACCTAACATTTTTAATGATACCTGAAACTATTCAATTAGATAAAACTATTTCATCATGTGAGCAGATCAAGTTGAAAGTTCACCAATCAGTTGATTGTTTATCTTTTTGATAATTCAATCCGAATGGTTTTATTCGAGGAGATATATTTTGAGCTGAGCACTTTAAAATAAAGGTTTCATCTCATCACATTTACTCTACAAAGGATAAATATAAGATTATACATCGAAAAATGAATATTTATACATCAGCTAAAAATACAAAAAGAAAACTATGAATAATTGTATTTATTCAACACAATTATTTTTTGTTTTTAGTAAGAATTACAGAAACAACCAACATTTTCTAGCTCTGCTTAGCTTAAGACCTGATCTATACCTTCTTTTCGACACTACACTTGAATAGAATTTTTTTAAATGATGAAGAAATGTAGAATGTCGACTTGTCCAATCGTAACACTGTGACATAAAATGACCCTCAACTTCGAGTACTTTCATTTAAGTCCTAATTTCCTGCGAAATAAAACCTCCAGATGAAATGCTCCTAGCACAAATTATGCAGAATATCAAATGAGCTTTTTACGCTGAAAAGAAATTTTCTTATTGTTTTCTTGAATTCTTTTTGAAGAAACAAAATTGGATCCTCGTTTCGTTGGTGTCTTGTCTTAACATTTTTATGTGTCATACTTTTTTTTCTAAGCCTGATAAATTTACGTGTAAAGAAAAAGATGAAATTAAAACAATTGTTTATAAATGTATATCCCAAGAATATAGATACCAGTTATCATACTAAACGAAAATAAAAATATCTGAAGCCATAAACCGTTTATATTCTTTGCTGTCTGATGACAAATCAATTCATCCGCTCTTAGTATAGTATCTTTCGGTAATGGACATTTTTCAATTGTTGATTGAATTACTTTCATCGTAAATTCTTCAAACTGAAAAATTCAAAATACAACAGTGTAAATGATCACATTTTAAACAAAGCTGTTTATACTTCATTGAATACGCTACTGGTAAAATTAGTCAGTAATGTTGAGTTACGTTTAAGAATTCGTTGAAAAATTTGTCGAATTTGTTCAAAATCATGGTCAATTGACTTGAGAAGCATTACAATTTTAGTTAGACCACTAGAACTGGCTATACTCATAAGTAAATGTAAATCCGATGTAATATTTATCTTGTTATTAAAATTCAAAAATTGATCGAAAATATTTTGATTAATATCTTTAATTGTAGAACTTAATTCATTTTGTAATTGAGTAGAAGCATTTTCGAATAAAATTTTACTGAAGTGAACATTTCGATTACAATCGTTAATTATGTTAAATATTGTTCTATTTACATCAAAAGTACCGCTTTGATTGACGAAATTATCTATTGATTAAGGAAATTCTATGATTTTTATTCTAGTAAATTTTTGATTATTTACTTGTTACAAGTGAAATAAGTAATGTTTGATTATGATGTACTAATTCGCAAGACATGTTTAATAATAAATCAAGCCCATAGAGAAATCCAGTAATAAGAGACAAAATAATGATCAACATATTTATTAGAGCAAAACAGAGTCGTATTGAAAAAAGAAATATACCAACAGAATGATGATCATCAGTTTTATTCTTTTCCATTAGATTGTTATTAGACGATGAATTAGAATTTTCACCGCTTGTGTTGTTCATATCATTGTATACGCCATACGGCTTAAGTTGATTAGGTAATGCATCGTTACTATAAAACAACAATAGAAAAGACATAAATACGTATTATTTAGCTTCAAATCTAGTCAGATTTGACAAGTTTTTCTTCGGCAAAGAATAAAGACATGATAAAATTGCTTTTTTTAGATCAGTAGCTAATGAATGCAGATGAAATTGAATTAAAATTCGATACTCTTATCGAAAAACTGATCATTTTATACTTATTGATGAAGGAAAATTTTCGATATTTTTATTTTGAATTTCAAATTTTACTAAAAGAAGACTATGTTAATCTAAATTATGACTTGACAAGCATAATATATAACAAATGTCATAGAAAAAATACAATGTTAAATAAACTAAAAGTTAATTAGCTATGCATTAAAATTAACTTGGTGAATTTTGATAAAAATGATCACGAAGTTCTATAAGTTAAATTGAAACAGTAAGATATATTTATCTTTCATCGATAGTTTGACTTTTAACTGTACATCAACGAGCAAGTCAGGAAAGTAGCATACAACCAATGTATTACTCTTATGGGAATATTATTAGAACTCTATCTAATGATTTAGTTCATCTGAAGAAACAGTTCTATCGATACCTTCGATAACTATTTACTGTAATCATATACGTATTCGCATGAACACACTTTCTATGCAAAATTTTACAAAAACGAAACATATATTGTTCAATTCAAAGTGATAACGCAAAGAATGTTCTTTGCAGAAGAGCAGCAAAACGTAAAAGAAAATTACAGAACTGTCATATGATTGAAAGAGGAAGTCATTAGACTGACTGTGGACAACTGATCTAATAACGTGAAGTTAGGTTTTCTATCAAATTATTGCGAAGATTAAGAAAACTTGAAATATGTGTAATTCACTCTCTTTGAAATCTCAGCATATTATATTACAAATAAAATAAATGTATCATAGATATGCGTAAGAGTAAACTGAAATATAAGTTACACATTCTATTCATTCAGAACATACGAAAATCGATTGTGTTTCACATTTCACTCTAGTAGGAATAGTGCTAATATTTTCGTTTTAAATCATTTACTTGATGACATCCAATGGATATTGTTCTTGATTACTTCTTTGAATATTCAAACAACCGACTTGATCAATTGTCTGTTGAATACTTTTTTTTATAAATATAATTCTATGTTTTATTTAAAAATAAACTAAATAATTGGTTTACTGTTTAACTTTCCATTCCAACAAGAATTTGATTCCAATAAAAATCAATGGAACGATTGTAATGCATACAATAATAGAAATAATTAAACATTCAATCAATACAATAGATTTGTGAATTTTATTTTCTTGTTCCGTATCCAGAATGATATTAATTTTATTTAGAATGTGCTTTTCAATAAATTGAATAAAGAACTGCAGGCTTTCATGGAGCATATTTAATTTAATCAATATCTGTTTATTAAAATTGGATTGACTTTTATCCATATAAAAGCAAAGTTTTTTATGCAAATCAGTCAAACGATTAGTCATATTTCTATATGAAATTGTAAATTCATCAAATAGATTTATGGATACAGATGTATTTATAGTTGTGACTGTTAATAGATAGAAATGCTCATCAAGTTGATCAGTATAATACACTAACTCGTCAATATAATAATTTTCTTTTAATAGACGATGAAGTGATTTTGCTAGAATTGATTTTAATCCAAGAACCAACATTGAATTAGCTTAAGAAATAAAATTAAAAAAAAACATTAAAGATAACTCAAGAAAAAATCATTCACGTTTGATTGAATATTCATTCAGTCGTTTTAATTTTCCCATTAATTGATCAATATATTGAATAATACTTTTTGGATAAATCTCTACATTTATTTCATTCAATGATTTTTCAAGAGATTGCTTTGCTCCATGTACATCCTTGATAATAATTATCGTTTTTATTAAAAGTATTTGATAAAGAAAAAATAGTACTATGAAGAAAATAGTTTTGAAACGAAATTTAAATCTTATAAACTTGATATATGAAATAATATAAAAAATTATGAAAGATATGAAAAAGAGAAGAAGTATTATGATTGTATAGATACAAATTGATGAAATCAATTTAGTTTTTAACAATATAGATGCATCGAAAGAATGTTGATGTTTTAGAAATGTACGAAACAATAATTCGATATCCTTTAAAAATAAAGTTGAATCTGTTATTGATGAAGAAAATTTTCGAATAAAACTATGCTCATTGGATGCCAATGTCGGATGAATAAAATGGTTAGATGTGTTCGACAGCGAAGGGATTGATGGAGTGAATGCATAAAAACTTAAACAACTTATATTTAATGACATTGCTTTTTGTTAAGAAATAGCAATTCATATCAGTAAAGGCGCGCCTTTTTTCAATAGAAAAAAAAGCAAAATTTTGCTAGATCTCGAATAGTGCTTCCATAGCCGTGCAGTCTGGAAAAGTTTATTATATACAGATAACAAACATGTCGATGAGATTTCATTGGTAATAGAAATGATTTCAAGATAAATATTATTAATAATAGAAAATATGATTAAAAATATTTGAAAAAATATAATTCTGATTAGTTCTCTATGTGTTTGACCAACTGTTTTTCTTTTTCTACGATTCATTTGTATATTTATCAAACCAGATGCATAAAGAAGAATAAGTTAATCGAAACGTATCACATCTTTTCTCGTCATTGAGCCATTCAAGGCACATGTCAGATACACTATAATCCGTATTCCTGTATTCGAATTTTATACTCGACTTATTTTTCAAATGACGAAGAATTATCAACATCTGATGTAATGTAGATATTGATATTGTGATATGTCTCACTTGGTTCGGAATTATAGAAGATGTTTCAATGATATAATCATATATAGGCCGATAGGTACTACAAATGCGTATTGTAAGTGAGCGAATATTGTTGGTTAGTTTCAGCAACGTATGCAGATTTACTGTCCATTCCGAAGAGTTATAGAATGCGCTACTTATTTGCAACGAAAGTTTGATAAGATTCGACAAATCGACGAGACTCGAAAGGAATCGAAGTGAACCCAACGGCCACTCATCACCAATACGTATTGTCAGTTGATCAAGTCGCGGGAATCGAATATTATGTGGTAAGCCACCCTAAATGAAGCAAAGAAATCGTTTTAGATGATCTTTTTAGAAGACAATCTCATCGTGAACCAAAAAATAATAATCTTCAAATATCAAGACTTAGCCTTTCTGTAATTACATGAGATATTCTTTTTCAGATGACTATGAGATTAATGTTTATAAGTTAAAGTAAATAAAAATGTATAGAGGCTCACCTGAAGAAATTTAATTTTACAGTTTGTTTCTAAAAGTACTATATGAAGGATGTAGAAGTAGGAAAACATTTCAAAGTATCCATATAAATCATTTCATAAGACAAGTCTATGTGTTGTAAATATGTTGATCATATTATCCTCAAACGACTGCTTAAGATTGTTGTACACAATATTTGATTGGTTAATCCAATAGATAATATCTGCCTGTGTGAGATGGTTGCATTAGAAAATTCAAGTAAAAGCTATGTACTTCAGTTAAGGTATAGATATAAGAAAACAAGCGTTACAAGCAATATTTGTCTATCTAGGTATCCAATAAAATCATGCTTACTTATTTTGTCATTCAAGTGTATCTCAAATATCAATTCTACTATTAGTTTAAATTCAGAACTTTTCTAATTTACTATATAGTCAAGCTGTAAAATTACTCAATACATATTTTTAAGTAATACTCTATAAACCTATTTATATCCTAGTTCACGTAGAAAAGTTCATCGACAGCTTTTCATTAGACTACAAAATAAAACTATGCGAGATTGTCGCTTAGAAGTATAATAAAATACACATCAGCATTGAGAAATAAAACGAATCGCTATTCAAACATACCTGTGACGATGTGGCCAAAGTCATTACATTTGTCAAATCTAAACGCAATTTACGCACACCATCCATCTTTGTTGCATTATTTATGTTTGGTACTGAACTCGAACGTCGAATTTCCTTCGACTCATATACATATTCAAATTCAGGATCAAAGGTCAATGGCGTGTAGAGAATAACAGTTCGTGGATAAACGATGTAATCACATATAGCAAACCAACTTTTCTTTTCGGTCCAGAATGATGTTCGAAATGGATCTATAAGAGATTCGGTATCCACGGTGAAATTAAAATCATGTTCATCTTCAGTAAGAAAAAATTCGAATTGTGTTAAGAATGGTAACTTTGTTTCAACGAAATTTGCCCATTGATGCAAGTGGGCTATAAAAGTATGTAAATCTATCGATCGTATCAACTGAAGACGTTCAATTGAAGGTGCCAATAAAAGAAGCAATTCAAGTAAGATAATATCAATATGACAATGTTTGAATGCTAGATAAGATAGTTGACGAAATGGTGTTAAATTTGATAGTTGAGTAACTATTTCATCCGTACTATCCTGATTTAACTGTATCACTACGAATTTTCGCAGATTAGGCAAATGATTGAGAATATTACAATATTCATCGAGAGTACGACAATAAATTTCTAGATGTTGTACTTTACATTCTAGCGACCATAGTAATTCAGATAAATTCAAATTAGGAATATTTAAATTGACGTTGTGAAGGCTAGGTAATGACATTACCGATGACAATTGATCCAAACTTGTATTGTCTCGCGAATAATCTCGTTCTGAATGAATGCATAACGATTGAAGTGTTAAAGTAGATAAATCTTTCAAAATAATATTCAAATAACAGTCATCAATTTCAAAAATAGTCAAATAGCGTAATCGAGTAAATTGTTTGATGCGTGTGAACGACAAAAAAAATTCCACTTGTCCTGGTGTCTCATCTCTATCAGACAATGTAAGCGATTGAATATTCTCCGGCGAAATGAAATTGCAAAGAAAAAGAAAGTCCGACTTTAAGCTTGCATTGAAATCCAATTTAAATTGATCGTATGCTTTAACAATTGTGTAAAATTGTTTGCAAACACTACGAAACGAACGAACAATTGTTTGTGCATCAAGATAATGGAAAATATGATGAATAAGTTCCACGGGTAGTGTACATAGCGACGGGCGCTGCGTGGTAGATATATTCATATCTTGCCGCAGGAGTAACTGAGTCAGTACACTTTTTCTTTTCAACTTCTGATGAAAGAAATAGTAAGTTTGATTTTTATACTGCGGCAAAGAAAAAGAGAGTGAAAGTAAAAGTATGAAATTCACAGGCAAAATATTATGATGTACATGCATATGATTAGACTTTGAAATTGAAGTACAAAACTGATATCAGTTGGCGAATGAGAAATTTCAAATTCTTATTTAATAGCAAAGAAGAGAAAAATTGAATATTTCAAGAAGTTCAAACTAATGATTCTTTTTTATACCTCATACAAAGCAACAACAAACGAGATATTAACGTGTTTGACAGCTCAATTTCAACGATAAGACTACTGCTACACTCTACGTTCTATTTTCACAAGAAAGAATTTAAATATACGGATGTTTTGTATTAATCTTGTGATTTCCAATCGAATTTACACTGATTTGTTGCAAAGAAAATGATTTTTTTTTCATGACTGAAAAGTCATAACAAATAGAAAATGTATACAATCTGAATCTGACAATTTCATCTAATAACTTTCTTTATAGTTCAGGGTTATTGGTAAGCATAAGTCTAGTATAGAGATGAAAGTATATTTTCTACAGTTTAAAAAATTAGTTGCTATCTAACTCTGCTGATTCCATCATAAACGCTTCGATGTCAAGATTATTTTTCAATAAGATAAATGTCCCATGCTTACTTACTGCAAGATGATGTCATCTACTATTGTATATGAGAGAGTCTCCTAGAAATCACATAGAAAATATGTATATAATTAACTTATAGAACAAAAATAAAATATGTTACTTGGCTTTTTCCAATTTTATCCGCCGTGACAAAATATACGTTTCATGCGTGAGGTCAATTATCTTGGCTTTTTCCAACTGCATTGACATGCTTTACCTTTTTCTTTTCTTTAGTCTAGTAAGTGCGCATACAATTTTGGTCAGATGCGAATCGTTATTTTTTTTCACGTTTTTTTTATTTATACAGAACGAACAAAAGAAAATACAGGACGTTGATGATTTCAGATTAGGAAGTCAATTCGCAACAATGGCATCGTTCGAACCAATAATAGTGATATTCGGATCGAGTAAAAGCATCGCATCTACCAATTTACGATTACCTGTGTCGCTTTTATTTGCATTCGATGTCAAATCACTTGAAGAAATTGTTAACGCTTCTTCAAAACTGACTGACACGTGTTTATCTCGATTTTTTATAATTCTACTCGATTGTATCGATGAAGATCTTTTGATACGATTACATGCAAATCATCGTGTGCAATCTATATATAAACATTGCATTACGAGTTCTGCTAGTCAACAACAAATCAATCGGATGACAAATTCATTTCGGCAGTTAACATTAGATTTGTCTAATGACATTGTCTATTTTTTAACGGCCGAAGGTGAAAAGCAAATAACGTTGGAGCAAATATCGTTGGTGAAGATTTATTATCAGCAAGCACGAATACTTAAACAATGGATTATGTCATTCTTTAAGGTAAAAACAATGCATTTGAATTTGGTGCCTCCATTTCGTTCTATTTTAGGCTGAGCCTTGTCATATTCTTCTCATTTCACTTAATAGCAGCCAAGAAAATCTCGACAGTGCTCAACAAAGATTACAACAAGTTTGTAAGTTAAATGAATGCAAAATTTTACAACAAAAAGATGAGCTTTTGAATTTCGCCCAAAAAGAAACAGTTGTTTCATACAATGTTCAGTTGATTTTCATGAATTAAGAAAAATAATGTGAATAAATCATCATAATTAGAAGTGCAATCAAGTAATACGTATGCCTCTAGAGTATTCACAGAAGGCTTGTTAGAAGTTTTGAGTTTCATAGAATTGCCCACGTCATTCAGTCATGAATCATTTTTAATTAGAGAGCAGTTGCCGTTTTCGTCTTGAAATATTCTTTAAGATAGAGTTTCCAAGTTGGTGAATATAAACTAGCCCGAGAAGTGTTATGAGGCATACAACAATTCTGTCTAGTCACTGATGGATGATTTTTACTTCTATTTAATGTTTTTCTTATCACAAGATGCTAGTTCTGAGCAGTGTCGATTACCAGTAGGTTTGTTAAGTTTAGTTGAACTTTTTATTTGTTGAAGTTCAGTATGCCAAGATCAAGATTGATAGATTTGATTTCAGTTAGCCTTTTATACTAATATATTTCTCAATAGTATGATTTTCGATAGCTTTCTAAGTTTTTCTTTTCGAATAATTTTGGTCAAATAACTCCTTCTTATTTACAGTATTTTTGCCATCCCTAAGTACCATAGAGTGCATATTAAGCAAAAAATGAGTTAACAATGTATTCAATAGATAAATAAATTTATGTTTTCTTATTGAATTACTTTTTAAAACATCGAATCAATACATTTAAGGGTAATTTATGATGTTGATTTGCCAATACTTGCTTGGACATGAAAACAAGATTCTGCATTAATTGTCACAATTTTTAGTTCAATAGTATATCGGTTGAGTTTCATAACATTGTTCTACTGACATGAGAAAATAAAAATGACATTCTCTACGAAGAGTTCTTATAATGAAATAGAAATTTCTTATTCTACATAAGAATTCTGTTGGTAGTATCAAATTCACTAAATGAATATGTGAGCTCTAAAATAATAAGATCAATTCCATTGTAGGCATACAACTTGGCTTTAGTTCAGCAGTTATACGTCAATTGAACGATTATATTCCAAATAGTGAAAGAAATTCAGTCCTATTACCGTATGCTGAATTACTTTTCAAAAATGAAGATCCCCATTACATTTGTCGACTGATCAAGCAACTGTCACCCATTCGACTCTATTTATATGGTAATAAACTGTGCGATTTAAGCGAATGGAGTAAATTAATGATTGCGACAGAAAACGAAATCATGGAGGATGAAGATGACTGGTGTGCATTTCTGGAGAATGACTATGTTGAAGATGAAGTAAAATGGAACTTTGGCTTTATATTCGGTAAAGGATGGAAATTGTCAAGAGTGTCACCACTCGATCTCAATGAGCTGCACGAAAATCTTCGATTTCACTCGGCAATTCGTCGAGCTTTTTCAACGTTTGCTCAGCGGCAAGTCGAAGTTACAGCAGACATATTCGATTGGCACCAGAACTGCATTAAGCAACGATATCTTCAAGAAGAAGTGAGAATACAAGAATTGCCTTATTTTGATCTTACTATTTTATGAACTTTTCATTTTTTTCCCCATAGCCTGAATTAATCCATGGACAGAAACGAACAAAATACGATTCGAACTGGGAGAAGTTCAATCTTGAGTTTTCGAGAAGGCACCTCTTTAGAAATTTATCCTATTTTGATTACAATGGTTTGGACTCTCCAAAGAACAAATCGATTTCCTTTATTTGGCTCGACGAAATATTGCACGATGCCGAATTTCAATTCCAACAGATTGTCGAGCCATTTCAATGGCAATTTTTCGACAATGTATCTTCTTGTGTGTTATTTTTAGAAAAACAATTGCGCGAGCAACGATACGTTTTTCTGGTAACTTCGGGAGTACTTGGCAAAGAATTATTTATATCAGGGTTATGTGTGATGGACCAACTCTTTGCTACATATGTTTATTGCGCACAGCTTAGCCCAAATTTGAATTGGAGTCGTGATTATTCGAAGATTCGAGGGATTTATAATGACTCGAATAAACTTGCTTATCAGCTCAAACGAGATTATAAACAATTGCAAGCTGCGTTGGGTATCTGTGAAACTGAATGCTACACTGTATCGAAAATCACAAACGAAAAACAAGTGAGATTGGAATTTGTGAGGATATTAGCTTTAAACTCTATGCGATATTGGTTTCAAAATAGTTTTCGTTCAACAGTTTTAAAAGATAGTGTTATCTACCTCATATTTGAAAATTCTAATTTAGGGAAATCGGACTACCCTGAGTAAAATCTTTTGAATCTGAATCTGAATTAAAGAATAAGGAAATTCTATTAATAAATCGTTCAGATGGAGGCTGTGTTTTCTGACGGCGATATTGAAACATTGACACCTGTTGTTACATAGAAAATATATCAATTTAACGGAAAACAATGTGATCATGTTCCATTATCACTTGATAAGTTAGTATATGCGTCAACTTCATGTATGTCTCTATAGTGTTCAGACGATTAATGAAGTTGGTGCGAGATAGCTCATAAATAAAGTGTATATATACGTATATCTTTCATGGAAGAGGGTACTTCGATAATGACTCTATGATTGTCAAAAAATATCTAATATTTAACGAGTTCGCTTTTAGTATATTCAAAATTTCGTAAGTTTTTAGATAAGTATCAAGTAAAGTAAAAGTTCCTACTTGTATGATGTTAAATAAAATCTGTATTATTTTGCTATCGATTTCACTGAACATACTCCGACTATTGTGTATGTAGTTAAAAACAATATTTGGATATTTTATTCTATAGATTATACAGAACGTAGAAGAAGTTAATTTACCATTGCCGTTGCCATTGCCATTAATTATTTATGATCAAGAACACACTCATTTGTTCATGGCTCATCAGCGAACTATTGATACTCTACTCTGTATGCCGCATACACTCGAATCAAAAGCCGATATGCTAGCTGAATTTCGTCATGCATATAGTGATAATCAGGAGGCTCTTGCTCAAATTGATAACTTCGAAAATATCTACAATTCAAATGCAGCCGTGCAATGGTACACACGTGATTCTTTTGTTTGGCGAACAATTAATCAAGCACTACGGTCAAGTAATGTTGAAAGCATGTTCAAACTTCGATACATCCTCACTGACTTATATGCTCATTTGCAAGAATCATACGATCAGAAGCATCTATCTTTTCAAATGTTAACACCAGAGATATTCTATCGTGGTCAAATGATGTCAAGGGAAGAATTCAATACTTTTAAAACGCTTCAGGGTAATATTATTGCAATAAACACATTTTTATCAACGACAGCTTCAATGCAAATTGCTCTGATGTATGCTGGCCAATATTGTGAAAATCCCGACTTGGTATCAGTGGTATTTCATATTGAAACAAATATGGGAGCGCTTGTCCGGCCATATGCCAATATTTCTCATTATTCACTGTTCCGAGATGAACAAGAAACTTTATTTGCCATGGGTAGCGTCTTTCGCATAGGCAATATTCGTCAACTTCCAAACGCAGATTATGTTTGGACTATACATTTAAAAACTATTGATCAAACTGATTCCCAATTCAGTAAAATTCACTAGACAACTGCATAGAATTTTTTTAGACAAGACACTTTTGATAATTTTTTTCTTATTAAAAATGAATCAGCTTATCGATTTATTTATCAAATAAAAACACAAAAATGAAATAATCTTAATCTTCCTCAGTCATTAATCTATATTCAACAGTTTCTTGACATCCCCTCAAGATTCGTTTCTTCTATCATCTTTCTTCAAGTAGATCTATCGTGATTTTTACTAATACTCAATACTTGTACAATCGATATAAACTAGATTTCTATAACATCAAAAGCTATAATCCATCGATCAATTTCCATCTTCTGGATTGCAAGTCAGAATTCGAATGAACGAGAAGTGATAGAAATAAAATGTAAGATTCTATCTGTCTACATGCATACAATGAAAGATGAGAAAACGAATTATCCTTTGAATGCGTTACGTCAATTTAATATTGCACTTACTGTTCACTTATTCTAACTATTGAAACGTCCGTGTCGTAGGCGTTTATTATTTCTATTTAATTATTCTGACGTATGATTCTGTACGACAAATAATACATTTATTTTTCTTTGATACATGTGAATAGAAGAATATTATTTTCTATGACTGATAATACCGAAGAAATACTAAATCAGAAAGAAAATACTGACTTTCTCACAGATGACTCAGAATTCGTTGATAGATAGCTTAAACTTGACTGCAATCAATTCTAAATTATCAGCCAGTTCAGACGAATGTATCATGATGATAAAAGTACTAATATCTATCAAGTCACATAAGTTGCTTCAATTCGGAAAAATAATATTGAGGATCGGCTCACTGTTTCATTGATGTTCGTCCATATCGACTACATTATCCATATATTATGTTTAAGTGGGTTCCCAACGACTGAACAAAATCAGAATAGGTATCGCGTTCGCTATCTTACTGCAGTAAAACATTTACTACTGAACCTCTTCATATCGTAAACACTTTTGAAAAGTATCAATAGTGTTAATATTAGAGATGTTTTATTGTATATACATTTAAAAATGAATCTTCTTTTTTTTCTATTCAGATATTTCAATCTTGAACAATTTCACTAATCAGTTGTCAAAAATCGCAATACGAATTTCTAAAATAAATAATTGAAGTTAATCGTTTGAAAAATATACTAATCAACCACAATTTTACAAGAATTCAATAAAAACGATGCAATTAAAGTAGCAACAAATGAACAAATTTAAGTAAGCAACACTTTGATTCACTAGTAAAAACAATTTGTACATTTCTACTTGATGAGGAAGCTTTGTAGATTTTTAGATGACATTTGCAGATGTTTTTTTTTGGAAAGTTGCGATAAAGGAAATTCAGCACTTCGAGTTCTTTTCAAAGAATGAGAATTTGAGAATTCTTGACGACACATTTTTGTTAAGAACACCGACAGATTTTGGTCTTGTGAATTTTCATGATTTTGCGTCAAATATTTCTTAGACAATTATGAAATTTAAGTGAAATAGCTATATGCCGAGCATACCCAATATGACTCAAATATTTTAATAGAGAAAAAAAATTAAAATGCAGCTTTTTTTTAGAGAAGTTTTACGTTATTAAAATCTAACAGATTAGCTGACTCTGGTATGACACCATAAGATTGGTTCTAATAAAAGATTCAAATTTATTCATGCCATATATTTTATTTCTAGATTAGGTAAAATTTTGATAGCGAGTGAGTGATTGAAATATGTCGAAGAATTCAGTAGGATTCTTTTGATCAACTTGCTTTTACTAAGTAGTATTTAGTAAGTGCCCGAAACTTTGACGAGTACCAAAGTATCGAAATAAAATTGTAGAATCAAACATGAGTATGCAACAGAATGAAGATTACAACAAATATTTCGTGGAGTAAAGACCACATACACCCATCGTATGCTTTTGAAAAATTCTATTTACTTAAAGCGCCTTCATGTTTTTTCTTTCATCACTGTGTGTGAGAAAGAACGGTAGAAAAAAAAGAAAAATGTTATACTTCCGAGTCTTTCAGAAATAAATAACAAAAACATTATGTTTTTGTTAATGTTTTGACAACGAACAACGAATTTCTCCGAATAAAATGCAGCCAACCCACTAAACATGCCGCAGTAAAACTCGTATCAGTCTTTTTCACGAACACCTGTAAAAAAAAACATGTTGATTTCTTCGATGTAAAAAACAACAGAGCGGAGGGCTTCAATCTAAAAACAAGCCAACAACATTCTTTAATGTAATAAAGCGGGTTGTCAGGAAGAAAAAGTTTCGACGATTGGTGTTCTTGGGGAAGAATATTTTTACCCGAGTTTGTTTCTTGTCAATAGCACAACGACATTTTTTTGATTATTGTCATTTCGGGTGTTCATTTTACGCACATATCAATTTAAAATAAGCATGGGAACCCCTAACTCAAAAGAGAGAATTAATGAATTAGAACGGCAACAAAAAGCACTCATGAAACATAATGCAGATATGGCACAGCGTTTGGCTGATCAAGAGGAAGCGAATAAACGGCAAAACGAAGCCATGATTCAACAAATGGCGCTAATGCTCTTAGCACTGGCACAATCGAAAGATAATGAAACAGTTATACGAGAAGAAAAAAAAGAGATTGAAATCGAGGGTACGACATATGAAATTGTTCAATTTGTTAATAAAGGTGGTTTTGGTGAAATTTACAAAGCAAAGGTTAAAAATAAAAATATAATGGTTGCCATCAAAGTTATGCAAAATTCACCTGGTATACAAGACGAAATTAAAAATGAAATTAGTTTTTTACGTTTAACAAAACAAATTCCTATTGATAACCATCCAGTTATAGAATACTATGGCAGTAAGTTAACAAAAGAAGGGATATTTATTGCAATGGAATTAGCTGCTTGTGATCTTGTTACATTTTGGATCAATAAAGTATCAGAAGGAGATGCTCAAGAAATTATTGTCATTGGTATGATTATTATAGTATATGTGTTACGTGCGTTGGCATTTCTGGAAAATTTGCATATTATTCATGGTGATATAAAACCGCAAAATCTTGTTATAGTTCCGAATGAACATGGCTTCTGTATTAAATTAATTGATTTTGGCACGGTAGAAAAAATCAATACTCGTCGTGCTCAACTTACAGTCGATGCTAGCAAAGCTCATACCTTATTTTTTGCTTCGCCAGAATTTTTACGACGTGATTCAAAAAATCTTTTGGCAAGACGTCTGCATAAAAAGTCCGATGCATGGGCAGCCGGAGTTATGTTTTATCTTCTATTCTGTGGTGGATTACCATGGAAAGATCAATTTGAATATGAGAATTTTTGTAGTGATCCGAGTGCGGAAGATGTTGTTGTACCTGAAGACGCTGGTTACAAAATGATTATTGAACTTTTGTTAAAGAAGGATCCTGATCAACGTTCAAGTGCTACAGAAACAATTATGCAATTAAAACCACATCCAGTATTTGGAAAAATTGTCGAAGCACTTGATAAAAATTTTTGTCCTGTCGATGATGTATGCAATATGAGAGTATCTGATGAAGTTCGACAGGGCCTAAGTAAGTTTATTACCAAATTTACAAAAAAAGTTCAAAATAGAAAATTTAATTTACTATATGCACGTTTTGTTGTTCTTATTTAATTGTTATGACTAATTTAATTATAAATAATGAAAAAGAATGCAAGAGTAAAACAAGAATTTTTTAAACAGTTCTGAAATATGCAAAACTTTTAATGAAAAAAACTGCCAGCTCAATCTCTACAGAATTAAACTGTAGAAAACACGAGAAAGCTACTTTCTAGAGATGCTCCGTTACAGTCTGTAGAGTTAGAAAGCTCAGTGTAAATTTTTATTTCATATACTTCAGTAATCTGTCAGATAATGTTTTACAACAGGAAATGCAAAACAAAATAGGGATCATCATAATTACTATGGTTCGATTATTAAATGAAATGAACGAATCTGTTACAATCGATACTGGTTTTGTTTTCATGGATGTCGAATAAGTAAATTTATAATTCAGCCGTGCTTGTATGTTAGGAGACTTCTGTGTGTTATTTTAATAGAAGAAATCCATTGTGATAATTCATGTCTTCCCACAACTATCTTTAGTTAGACTCGCACGCCCTGGACATTATGCTACCGGATCTAGATCAGCATCATCAAGCAGAGATACATGTAAGTATATGAATCAATTGCTGTTGTAACTGTTATCAAACATTCAATATTCGTTTTCATGTTGATCAACAGCTGGAGGACGTCGTGCATGTCGATATGGTAAAGCTTGTTTCAGGTTATTTAAAGATATTGCGATCGAGTATTAGTTTATTCTATATTGCAACTGATTCTGTTTTAGAAAAGATGCTGACCATCGTGCAGGATTCGCACACCCAGGTGATTCAGATTACAAAGTGTCAGGTGGCACCGGCGGTGCCTATGCCGGGAAAGTGAAATGTGCTTATGGAACTAAATGTAATCGGTAGGTATCTATTATCTTTCCTAATTTATTTAGAACATTTGTTCTAAATTTGAAAATGATATGAACGATTAATTTACCCGCAGATGTATAGGACAGATTGTTTTGTAATACGACACAAAAAACTCATCAAACATAATCCGTGTTTTAACTGTTACATTTTTCTATCGACTTCTAATTCTTTTTATATTCTAGCACTACTGATCAAGAGCATCTTCAAAAATACTCGCATTCAAATGATTCTGACCATGGCCCACCACGAAAACAACCGTGCCGCTACGCTGCAGAGTGTCATGAGTATGTTGCAGTCTGAATATTCTTATACTGAAAATATAGTATAAAGGTTTTCTCACGCAAATGAAGATTTTGGAATCAGATTGTAGTTTGGTCAGAATAGCACATGAAAAAACTGATTAACTATTGATTAATAGTGTTAGTTTCAGAACTAGATTGATATTCATAAAACTGAATGTACGGTTTGTATTAAACGAAAAACAATTCAAATGTTCAACTATGAGTGTAACATTCTGACTATCAATTTTATAATGAATCTTATTTTATGTTCCAAAAAGTATTTAATAGTCTTTATACAATCTCGTATTTCATTCTGATATGTGACATTATTTTCTTGGCTTTCCAAAATATATCTTATCTTTATCAAGATGAACAAATTTCTGCTGACTTCGATCTCTGTTAAACTATCAATTCGTACAGTTGTTCAACAAAACTCATTTACTGCGGAGAAATTCTAATTTAAAATTGAGACATTTTCATGTTTTGTTCAAAGAAATCCACTGTTTTTTAAATTCAGCGATCAAACATATTGATTCATTGAAAAACATAATCACTGATGCGCTTTTCCTCTTTTATTTTCAAGTTTTGATCAAGATCATCGTAAAAAATTCGCACATCCGATCGGTGCAAGTCACGATAGCCATGGCAAGACACAGTGCCGCTTTGGAGATGATTGCACAAAGTATACTACATTTTTCGTTGAAAGATTTTTCATTTTTTTTTTATTAAATATTTATTTAGAAGAAACGACCGCGACCATATGAAAAAATATTCACATGACTAATTCCAAAGAAGAGAAATATCGATTCAATCTAACTCATAAAATAGAAATGATTTATCATAATAAATGGTAAATTCTTTTTTTCTTAAAAATATTGTAATTTTAAATTAGTTTATAAATTCTGAGAATAACATACTAATGAAGTATTTTTGTCATTTGGATCCTTCAGAAAATGTTGAGAAAATTCTATTTTTCCAACATACAGTAATTCACTTACTTTGACAATAGATATTCAACTTTGTTTTTTATTTGCACAAAAAATAAATTCTTTTTGCTAAGATGAATACAAAGTATTAATATATATTTATTTTCATTTTTAATTGAAAGACTGTTAAGATTCCAAAACAAAAGTAATTGATTCTGTTAAATCTTCAAATGTCAAAATGACTGAACACAAAATTAAAAAAATACTAAGGCGAGAATTCAAAAATGATCAATATTTTTATCATCATATACAGAAACATAGGGAATCGAAATACAAAAATATTATCTTTCATTGCAGATTTATTTGAGAATATAAGCATATCAACACAGTAAGAAGAGAATCTTTTATTTTTTTTATTTAATTACCCGATGGTTTGATCGATTGGTGAACTTCTTTCTTGAAAAGTTCGCGAAGAATATCTCCATGACAACGGTTCGGTGTACACCAACATCCTAATCTTTTCCCGGCTAGTTCATGTAGATCATTGAGTAGATTATTTTCATTCGATTCAATATATTTTCTATAACGATCTAAGGCACCGTCTCGTCCATATTGTTTAACAGAATATGGATTATGCCATTTGCTTTCACTCAAACGCCAACCACCCATATTGCAAGCACGGCCAATATAAATATCACAATCTTGTACAATTTTTCCTTTTAAACGACGTAAATGAACAACTTTTGGTAGGTTTGAAACAGGTTGAGTGTCAATTTTTGGCTTGTCTACTTTTAAAAATTTTGAACGAATATCAACTGGATCATCAATATTTTTGCGTTTCTTCTCTGATTCCATTATACTAAAATAATTCCAAGAAAAATAATTATTACATTTGAAATTTGAAACACATTCTACATATTTTAATTATTCATGTACGAACATACATGAATATTACTATATTAGATATCAACGAATACAATTACTTCAAGCTTCTATTACATTTATTTATTTTAAATAAATACTCATTTTAAACAATCTATTCGAATACAATCAAAAATTAATTTTTCTAATATTTGGAAGTCTCATATACCACCATTGAAGAGAGTAATAAAATAAAATAAAATCTTACATAGTTTGAAAAAAAGAATTCAATAATACAAAAATAATATGATGAAAGAATAAAGAAAAAGGAAGAAATAGGAGCTAACAAAATGAGTCATTTGAAGAATTTCGTAATTACGAATGAAATGAACACATACTCTTTACTTTTGCTTTCTTTTTACTTTCTATGGTCGATTTAGTAACCATTCTCTTTTAGTCCATTTTCATACTCTATTCTAAATAGAATTAAAATAGTAATATCAACTTTTCCTTTGTAATTGGTTCAAGTGATCATTTTCATTGTTATTATAGATAATAATGATACATAATTAGCTATAGTTCAGTAAGATGTGCAAAATGCGTAAAGTCCTGTGTCAAAAATCAATGGAGATCTGAGAATTTATCTTGCAATGAAGTGAATAGGATTAATATCTAGAAGGAATTGATCAAAAGTTTGGTCGTTGAATGTTTCTTTTGTTTTTAAGAAATCAAGACTACTCTTTTGAACTTGTCGAATAACATCAGCTTTTCCTTTCTTTCAGTGCTGTCAACAACTTGCAATTTTTTTTATATATAATCACACGATACAATGGTTATGAGAAAGTTTTCAAACGAACTCAACATTTTAGGGAAGCCCAAACAATTGATCAGTGTGAATAACCATTTTTGGTATAGAATAACCGTGACGATTAATGATATAGTGTGAAACCTGACTCAGTAAATTCATTTTCTATCTATATATTTATATATACATAGAATTCGGCTTCGTATTTGCTTTTTTCTCTATTAGATTCAATCATATTGATCATGTACTTATTTGTCGTTTTTCTCAACTTTTTGTCTCATCAAAAAGACTAATTTTCATTTTCATGCTGGTTCTCTATAATATGATTGCCAGAATTAACAGATGCAAACAATGCTTCTCAAAGTGCTGAACGCTTCTTGATGTATATGATACTACTTTTAACAAGAATCAATATTACTAGCGAGTTATGTAAGATAAGTATTGACGATAGCCCACTTGCTTGTGTTACGTTTATTTTGTTTTACATCAAATCAAGAAACTCATATGATTCTATGGCAAGCACCACTAAAAACCTAAACATTATTTTGAAATGAATAACAAGCAGCAGGAACTATTCAAGACTCTTCGAAAATTGTAGACTTCAAAAATTATAAAAATTAATACAGTTCATTTGAATTGTGAAGAATCTACATTCGAGTTATTTTACTAAATACAAAGATTAGAGTTTGAAAATGGTTTATAATTATCGTGGAAGTACACTTTGTTTTTGAGGTGATGAGTCAGAAATCGAATGATTAAAGTTAAGTAAAATATCAAAAGTTCGACACCTTGCTGCAATATAATAATTCAAAATGAATATGATCCATTCTATTCTATTCTATTCTGTTTGATTCAACCAAAGGATGAATGTAAAATTATTTTATTCGTTTTATTTCATAAGGAAAAAAGTTCATTGTATTAGAAAAAGAAACAATCGACTTTTTATTGAAATCTTTGAATCGAATTTGTGGGGACTTCGCTTTCATTTCAATTAAAAAACAAGAGTATCAAATGTTTAAATGATCAAAAAAAAACAAATCACAGTAAAATGAAATGAGCAATACACTAATATGATTAAATGTCATCATTTTTATAAATTATTCATTATTACATTTTTTTCTTGGTTGATACTTTAGCGGTTTTTCCTGCTAATATTTGTAATATCAATAGTAAAATCAATAATGCTCCTATTATGGAATGATCATATGCTATGTGTTTCAAATAGCCTTCTTTTGTTGCATTAGTCGCTTGAGCATCACTTGCTAATAATTGAATATATTTTTGTATTCTTAACAGAAAAATGCCCACGACTGCTATGAATACGGGTACACTTAGCATATCATAAGTTGATCGCATCATATTTTTAAGCATGATCACTGCACCTATGAGCATCGGTACTAGTGTAACCAGTGATGTGTACCATGGTTGATGAAAAGCATTTTCATAATAGGAAACACATGTATTCAATTGGAATGAATTAAGCGGTGACGGCAGAAGGGAGTAATGATCGCAAAACATATCAATGCATAGAAGACCTAATTAAAATAAATCATTACAAAGTCAGCAAAGTAAAATATTAAAAATATACCCAGAGCAAACGAAATGATGCATGGTGCTAAAACCATTTTTCTATTGCAAATTGTAATAAACGAAGAAGTAACACAAACAATCTGAAATAAATATAAACAGTACAGCTATTGTATGCAGGAAGATGTATTTATGTCATTTGTATACTAGAAAGCGGACACATTGAAAGCTTATAGTTCGTAACGATACGGTGTAGACAACGCTTGATTTAGTTATTTGTATCATTTGTTATATGAAGTCATACTATTCTTCAACCGAACTGCAGTAGTTTTTAAAAGCTTTGAATTTCTAGCATTCATGATTCAACTATTGAGTTTTATTTATGCACAAAACTAAATGTAGATCTGCTGTTTTAAATTTCATATATGAAATCGAGGTTTATATCTGTTTTATTATCTTGAAATAAATAAAACGAAAACAAAACAGGCAGATTTTTACTTATTCGAAAAATACTTATCCTATAGGACCCGTGCTAACAATTTCTTTTTAATTGAGAAACTTCAATGAAAACGATTTATATTGATTTCACATATTGAAAAAATCATTTGTAAACATGCATTTGAATGAATTACGAATCTCAATTCAGATGTCACTAGTTTTCGAGGAAAAATATATTCTGTGTGCAGAAAAAGACAAAACGTTTTCGTTGTGATGAAAAAAGATTTCACGTTTAGGTATATGCTAAGTGAATTGTCATCTGCATTAGCTTACCAAATGAATAAGAAAATTGTCTTTATGCACTCACTAGACTTTCGATAGAAGATTTATTTTTGACAAGTATCAACGATTCAGTGGCAGATTCCTATTTTGACATATTCATGTAAAATTATTGGAGAAATAACGGTCAAGATGATATTTTCGGGCAGAAGTATGCTACTGATAATCTGATTCTTCATTCTTTACTCAAACACACTATATTTTCTTCGTTTGGTTTTTGTGACTTATACATTGTGTTTTATTATAATTTCTACGTCGGTATGTGCGATATATCAAAGAGATGAAAAACTACCTATCATCGTAGTAAAACTGCATGTGCAGGGAAACTAGTATATAAACTATGATGAGAAAAATTACAACCAGTTATCTGTCAATGCAATCTGCACAGCAGGTGTTTTGTGGCTGTGAGAAAAATGAATTGTAATCAAGTAAGAGAAGAAAAATGATCAGATCATTACAATTAGTATAAAAGAAGCTTCATTTTATGAGATTCAATTTCTCTTTTAATTGATTCATTTCAAAATAAATGGATACAACTGAAATGACAAAGAAAGAAGCATTGATTAACGCAGGATTTCGAAAAAGGTATGTTACCATTTGCATCAGTAAATAGCGTATGTTTATTTTTAATCGCAAATTGTGGATTTTACTAATAAATGATCATTAATAAATAAATAAAAATGCTTCATTCCGCTTCATCATAAAAAATTCATTGTTTCTGGTTAAATATTCTCTATGAGGTTTTCTGAAAGCGAACAAAAAAGAGGTTCTACAAAGAGTAACCAAAACTGTGAAAATCTATATAGTTATCAGGACTGCGATATGAACTTACATTCTAAAAACGGATTTCTGATTCAGTTTTTCATTATTTATGCCTTCATGTAGCTAATAGGTGTCGTTTCCGTTTATTTTCGCCTCACAGAGACTTATCCGTGAGAGTAGAGAAAGTTCAAGAAAGTCCACATCCATATGTCTTTGAAATTAGCATCGCAGTGTTTTAGTGAAATTTTCGGTTGGAATCTTATGTCACTTTGTTTTTTTAACAAGGCATTCAATCGGTAATTAAAATTCATTTTTAAAAGAAATCCAATACTCCAACATAAAACCATACTTTGCGCTGTGAACTTCTCAAACATTATACGCTTCATGTTATGTAATATATTCGTACGAGTCAAATCTTATGGAGATATGTGGTTTTTTATATGTATTTTGCAATAGACTAAATATTTGGTAGATGATCCCAACTAAACTCTTTCAATTCGAAGCGATTGATTCTTTTAGGGCTTTTCTAACTTCACCAAAACTTACTAGTAGTTAGGTCCAATATGAATTCACTGGTGACTATCAATTTGAATGGCTCTTTCAGAGAGTGATGATCAGAAACTACATTACTAGGAAGTAGTACGAATATCATGTTGTTCATCGTTTCGCATATCGAATTTGTTTTTTGGACTAGTTATATCATATCTCTATCACTTGCAATTTTCTTGACGAGAGTGCGCCGTTCGATGAGCATATCATTCAAAATTCTAGTTACTTCTTTTTAGTCTATGATTGTTAGATGAAATAATCTAAGGATGCAATTCATTATTTGATAACCCATTATTCGTGGAACAAAAGAAGGAATATATCTTTTTCAAAGAAAACTTACGATAGCTCTAATTAGCATAAAAGAGATTGAGATAGCAATATGAACATGTATACTGGGAAATTATGTATTACTAATCATACCAGTAGTCACTATATAATATATTCGAGTGTCATTAACTGAAAAAAGCTTTTCATACAGTTTTAAATAGTATTGAGTAGCGATTTTTTGAGCTTTCTCTATGGAATATACCTTATAATTGATCATGCTTTATTGTGTAGCACTCAATCACACGGTTCCTAATTTATACTAACTAAATGCTGAATATGAAAGTAAATGTGACCTAGGAGCTAATGAGTGAACGCAATTAGATCAACTCAGTAATGAAATACAAAAGATATTGAAAATAAAAGGTCGTTAGAAAACATCGAATAAACTTCATCAGCCACTGAAGTATGTAATAGAAGATTTATCAAGCAAGATTTCGCCCAACATGATACATGTATGGGCAACTTGGATTCTTGCACCATTGTCACATCTAATGACTACTTATTCTTGTTTTCTTTGTATATAGAACCAATTATGAGAACGCTGATGTGTACAAGATCTTCAGCATATTATATGGTTTAGGTAAGACAATCTTTACTTTAATAATAAAAGTCGATAGAAAATCATTTTCAGTGTTACAAGAATCAATTTTTAAATTCTTTCAGAATAATTATGCCAGCGTGCCAAATTGGACTGAGAATGATTTCACATTTGCCTACTCAGATTTAATATGGATCTGAATACGAGATCGGATATTGACATCTGCTAACTAGTTCTAGCGAATTACGAGCACGTTCTGTATAACTCATTGGTGATTTATTTGAGTAATTAGATAGGTTATTTGTAAAAGTGAATGAATCCGTCAAGATATATATGTGATAATTTGCTTGCTAAGCTCTGGAATTCTCCAATCATTCAATATGATAATTTTAAGATAATGTCAAAACACAATGTAATTCTACCAATATTATTCTTGGACTATTTGTTGTTGTGAGGTTCTAGTTGTATTTATAAAACCCTATACAGAAGATTTGTAGCAGCTATCTAAGACTGAATGTAACTATAATGAAATCTGTAACTGTACAAAAATGTTTCTCATGTATTCATCATATGTACATATGTGCGCTCAGATAATGTCCAGAGATCTATGTCTATGTAAAGATAAATTCAAGGGATTATTCTTCATGGATTAATTTTTTTACAAAGATATCTATACAAAAACAAAATACTGACATTTGGTTATTAGATTTTATAATCAGATCGATTATAACTAGAAGAGATTACATAAAATTGACAATTTTAAGCATATGGTGATTATTCAAGACTTACGGAATTCTGAAATTGAGCAGAATTTCCATATATTTGACTAGATCTTAACGAGTTACACTAGAATAACTCGATGAAATATTTCTAAGCTTTGTTTTGAAAAATTCAATACCGCAAAAAATTTAACAACTACTTGAAAAAGTGATTAAATGTTAATACAATCAGGCTTTTTTTGAGTATATATTTTCTAAAATATCGATAGTCGAATTTTATATTTAGTGTATGGAATTGAACGCAGAGAACACTTAATCTGTGTTTCAATCTTGACCTTTGCGTATTTAGTTAAAATATTGTTCTCTTAGTAATATTGGCCAGAATGAAACATTTGAAAACGAAGGAAATTCTGTCGAAAGTATTAAAGATTGTAAATAGTAGCTGCTTTTATTTTCTCACATTTTCATTTAGTTTTACATCCTTACTTTGAAGATAGTTTTTAATCGTTTCATACAGACAGGGCACTTTAGAAAATAAGCTATAGACAGTAGAAAATGATGATCGTAGTTATGAACCGTTCTAGAAAATTCAATATTATTCTGGAACTTTACACACTGTTCGGAAAATCAAAAATATTTATTATCGCCTTTGATGTTTACAATAAACTGCTGTGTAATCTATATACAATTAAGTCTTTTCTTAAAATCTATCAAGACATTCGATGATTAATAAGAATTTCAGTGTAAGTCATCGTTTTTTTCACATATCCAGCGCTCAGCTCTATGTTTAGTCAATTTTCCTTAAAAAATAAAAATGATTAACTTAATTTATTGTGGTGAGTGACTAAAGAGCTTTTTCTATAGAAGATTTTATTTTTATTTGATTCACTGTAAACATTTTAATTTATTAGTTATCTTCATTTGTGGTGTATCGTTTTCAATTTCACACGCTATTGTGCCTAAAAGTGATGCTGAAATTATCAAACACTTAACTGAGGTAAACTTTTATGTTCACAGAAGAATTAAGGTTTACTACTGAAATTGATCTTACTACATGCTAGATCTATTTCGCTTATCTCTATTGGGTATCCATCATCTGGATAGTATTCTGTATTATTGATGTCATCCGTCATCGATACAAGGTTCAAATGCCTAAGGGTACTTTGAACAGATTGGATTCCATTCAAACTAGTTGCTACGCTGATACTGCTCGTATTGGACAGAAAAAATTGATATTAACATCACCAGAAACAACACCTGAATCCATGGCTGCACCTTACATTAAAATAACTGTACTTGATGAGCCTGAAAAAGATCGATTGAATGGCACCAATGATTTACGAGTAGAAACAGACTCCGATCAAGTATTCATCGAGAATGAAGAAACTATTAGTTCGTGCGATAATCGTATTAAATCGAATTCTTTGGACGATTCTGAAAATCAATCAGTGGTAGCAAAACCATTAATCGATACAACAAGAGATATTTTGACTCGACGACGTGCTCTTGATCTGACCGCAAAACATGATCTCCAAGCGTATGTACGTCACCGAAGATGCAGTATTGTCCAACATGTTATCGGTTACAATTACGATGATAATTCTACCGTTGGTGGTCTTTATACTCGTGTTGGAATTGGAAGTAAGATGAATAGAAAAAAAAGCCCATAAAAGTCAATGTGAAACACGTTAAAACATCGTTTTAGTTTTTTGTCTCGGCACTGTTATTCATGCGAGTCTATCGATTTTAAGTAATTTGGAGAATTTTTCATGCATACGATGGACAGCTGCAATTGATGATTTCTCACGATTACTCTTCACATTTATTCAGTTCTTCTTTGTTTTCAAACATTCAAACGTATGTTCTTGTGAAATAATACATCAACAAATGATAAGTCGTAGATTAATCATGTTTTAGTTAATCATTCGAGCTCATGAAAGTGTAGCTCGTTTAGCAGTGATTCATATCGTGGTCACCAATTTGTGTGTATGGTAGGTTCGGTTTCACTTACGATCAGGAAGACGTATTTCATTCTTCGATACTCATTGATGCAAATGTTGTGATCAAACATAAAAATAATGAAATCTCTCTATGCAAAACATAATTCATTCGTTCGTTACAGAAGCAAGAAAATGTTTTCATGAGTTAAATAAAAATAAATCGAAATTGAATATCTCAATGATTTTTTCCGAGTTACTAACATCTAATTTTTATCTTCAATTATATTAGTTATTATAGATTTCCAGAGCTGTTTTGAACTCCAATAGTTTTATTATTATTAAAAACATTTAGTTCTGAACGGTCAATAGTTCATCGGATCGTGTTTCTACGAGATTCTACTATTTTAATATAATGTGCCATGACACTATCTATGTTGACAGGTTTCGCATGGTTGTAATTGAAACTATATCAGAAATCGCAGAAGTAGATGGTCATGAAGTGACTCTAATGCAAGCCAGCAATATATCCAACCATATTGATCATGGTAAGCTTTTATTCATTCGTGTGTATTTCTTTTTCTTGCATTTTTTCCTATCGCGAAAAGGTAGCCACGATACAATGAAACTTATCTATCAATTACTGCTCATTCGTTCGGATTGTTCACATTTAGCTGCTAATGGATTAAAAGTTAATCATTTTATCCGTGAAGGTTATCTGAGATTAAAACCTCTTCTGTATCCATGTACCATCGAGTTTAGTCTGATGTGCCTTACAGTAAGTTCTATTTTTGTGTAATTCGTCCGTATAGAGATCATCATTAATTTCACGTAGCTGTTCTTTCTTATCTGGGAAAATGTTGGAAAAACATTTCCACATAAAATGTCGGATAAAGAATCAACAAAAAATGTTTTTATGGTAAATTGTCATGCATCGGTCAAAGGTCTCTTTGCTGGAATGATCTGTTTCTCGTGTACAATTGTTGCGACACTTCTCTATGCTATTTTTCGAAATAAAATCGGTGATTCTCTTCATACGATGTCACCATCATCTCCAGTTATTCATCATAAACATTCAAACGTTACTCCTACACGTACAGAAACAATATTACATCGGTCACATGAAATGCCTTCAGTACTAACTGATTCGATGAGTGCCGTTTACCAGCCACTCGCTCCTATACCAAATACTTTAAAAAAGATAGATTACAGCATTGCCATTCTCGAAATCGTTAATTTGTGTCTGTTAACTCTTTCACTATGTGCTACAATTTGGGCTCTAATTAAAATTCGCAAGTTGAACTATCGTCGAACGACTACACGTAAGAGAAAAAAACAGGTGAATCAGCCAATTTTCAATATGTTTATTTTTTAAATAGGTTTCGACGATGTTCTAATTATTGTGTCACTAACAGGCATCTATTTGTATTCGATCTTTAGCGCCTTTGCTATCATTAGCAATCTAAGCTCATCGACATGGGTCGCCTATGTTAAAGTAGCAATTATTATTTTAGGTATGATATCATCTTAAACTAAAGCATCAAAAGATTTGCTACCGGAAAATCTTTTAAATATTCCAGCAACTTCTTAGATAGCCTATATTTTAACTAGACTTGTATAAATTATTTTGTTTTTATCTGTTGTAGAATTTGTCGAAGGTACCATTCATGCATTGTTCATTCTTCTTGCATTACGCAAACGTTTAAAGCATACATCTAAACATAAATATCCAGCTCGTGAAATCATTACTCTACTGATCATGCTTGATCTTAGTCTTTGGTTTGAAAAAACAACAACATCCACTAAACATCAAGCAAATCCATTTCAACTTGCCTTCTATCATGTCATTCCATGGTCGATTATCACTGCAATCGCTATGCCTCTTCAAATCTTTTTTCGTTTTCATGCATCGGTTTGTCTTTCGCATGTTTGGGCAAATATGTATCACTTGCCTCCATATGAACCAATAGCACTTCGAGACTTTTGATGACTTTTTCTTATATTACTTTTATTGTGCCATACTCACATCTCTATTGGATACAATGTAGAATGAATTTAATTGGTTTTTCTATAGATCGATAAAGTTAGTCACTCATATGCAACATCTCGATCCGTCTTTATGGTTCACCCCTTGGGAACGAGTGAGCGAGATACGAGCGAGAGAGAGAGAGTTCATTATGGGATTAAATTTCTCGGATAAAACATCTCATCAAATGATTTGACTTTAGATATCCTTGCCAGTAAATAAAATTTGTATATTGGATCGTTGATTGTTTACCAAACTGGATCAGAAAACTTATAAGAGTCATCTACTGCATATAATTTTACTTGATTATGCATACAACTTGCTTTTGAATTGATCTTAACTGTATGCATAATAGGATACCAACAGCTCTGCGAACTTTCTAGATTCTATTGTCAAAACTACTCATATCCTTTTTAAGGGAATGTTTTTTCATCGAATACACGCTGTAATAATTTTAATATGCCTTAATAATTCATATAAATGCTGTTTGACAAGCGCAAAGATACTTCCATCGAGAAAAAGAAATTTATATTCAAAATCAATATTTTTAAGATTGTGTTTTTCTACAGAATGAAATGATAAAGAAATAATATTTCTTCATCATTAATGCTAAATTTATTAGAAAAGTACTGTACGTATGATTCTATTGAAACTGATTTGATGGAATATTGAATTAATTTTAAAGTATACGCATAAATATCAATTTTTTATTTATTTGAAAATGTTCAGGTATATTCAGTTCATTTTATTCATTTCGAGTGTGTGATCTATGTATATGCATTGTTTGAGTTAATGCTATTGAAATTTCTATAACATATCAAATTTACTAACGTAAGCATGAGCTAATATAGTGTAATATTCGCGAGTAAAGAAAGAAAGGTGTAATTTCATGCTTTCTTCATTTGGAAACCATCAAGACCAAAGAAATGAATAGATAAAAAAGTAAGATCGATCAAAAATATGTTCAAGACTGAATGAATCTTATACTAGAAACTTGATTTTATTCCTGATGATTTATTTATAAAACGATTGACCATTAAAATCAGTAACTGCAAATGATTGTACTATATCATATCAATATTCATCACATTACAAACAATCAACTATTTGGTGCTCAATTTTAAAGTTCAATCAAGTCTGAGTTTATGCATGCTCGAACAACGAAAGAAAATAAGAAAATCGCCAACCCACGAGATACTCGCCTGTAATTTAAAAATCTCTATTTTTTAATTGATTATTGAGACAAGATAACATTATTATCTTTCTCTTGATATTAGTCAACCTTGAATATAATCATTTGGTTGAAGTCTTACGTGAGCTTAACTGATTCATCTAAAAGAAACCTGCTGGAGGACATTATTAAAGTATGCAATTACTATGCATGAAATAAATACGAATAATTCTTATATTCTTGAGCTTCTAAAATGAAACGGTAAATAAACTAAAACCTGAATATTTCTGTCTAATTGCAACGATGGCAATCTGTTTCTTTTTAAATTCTGTAAGTATAGAACGAAAGTTTTAATTCGATTCAAATCTGTACTATTCCATCAACTAGCAACTCAATTCGTTTCATAGCCAATGGAAGGTATCGACACAAAAATCTATACTCTCATATGTCGACTGAGTCACGACATATGCTGAAAGTAACGCCTACTCGTTATTACATCATTACAATGTAACTTTTCTTCTCCTGTTTTCTATAGTATAAAACAACCGGTTGAAGCATTTGAATAATTTGACTTCTTTTTGTCATTCTCTTAACTTCTGCATAGTAACACGGAAAAACTGAACGTATTCCGTAAGTATAGAAATCACTTTCAAGTTATATGTTTGAAATTAACCATCGTCACATTTCTTGATTAGAAATATAGTGCTGTTTTTTTTCAGAAATCACTATCTGGTAAATATTCGTGTCTATTTTACTGCAGTACTTTTTATGGTCGCTCGTAAATTCCATTGAAAAAAGAAAGATCACCATTAAAAAAAAACAGTTTGAAAGTTGAACAGCTAAACATTTTTGTCTGCAAGAGTTTATGACAATGGATTATTTAGAATGAATAAAACTAAAATACGTTCGTAGAATATTAAGAGGTACATATAGTCTATATGATTTAGTGGGTTTGTTGGTTGTAAACAACTTCTTTTAATCTTTTTTTAAAAACTATAGACACAATCAAAATAAGCTTATTTTTAGATATTCTTCTTCTTTAATGAGTGCTCATCCGATCACTGTCATTGCGTGCGATATTGGTGGTGTAATAAAAAATCAAGTTAATGATGAGCCCATCGAAGATGCTGTAAAATCTGTGATCCAACTATCAGAAAATACATCAAATATAGTTATATTCATTTCCAAATGTAAAGATAGTTACAAACAGAAATCGAATGCATGGTTGGCAACATACAACCTATCTCACATTAGAACACATTACTGTTTAGAATATGAAGATAAAATCAAAATTGCTAATGATAACAAAGTTAACGTCATGATTGATGACAAAATGCAAGTGTTACGTACTTTTCCATCGTCTGTAATCAAGATATGGTTTTGTTCGGATCCAAAGAAAATCGAAGGAGCACGAAAATTTCAATCTGATTTTGTTAACACCGTGAGAATCGCTCAAAGCTGGAAAGAAGTGCTTGAACTCATTCAAGCAATATAAGTGTAGTTCAGTATTTTTTTTCTCAAAAGATATTGTCTGCAAACACAAATTAGGTGCATCATCAATAAAGCTAATGCATCAATCCGGTGTTTAGCCATTATGTAATTGATGTAACGGATTTATAAATCGATTCTATTTCAATAATAGCTTAGCTCGTTTTTATATTCTGAAAAAGATTTTACATTATCTCTAATAATAAATGATAAGAATGTGAGTATTCACATTTGTTTAGTTTCGGAGTCTGTACCTTATCAAAGGCTGAACCCATACACACACGTGTTAAGGGCAGAGTCATGGGTCGAAGCTTCGACAGCAAGTCTGACCAGGTCGTCAAAATAATTTCTCTGTACCTTGGAAAATCAAGGTAGTGCTTTAAAAAACATTATTCTGATGAATCCGAAAAGTTTTGGCAGTGTGAAATTTCAACAGACGATGATTTACTAGATCGAATGCTTTAGTGAATAGAACCTTTTACTTCCGTCGCTTAACTTCTTCTTGAGAAATATTTCAATCCTTTTTTGTTTTACTGATTCGATTGATTTTCGGAACAGATAGTCATGTATTATTCAAAGTTCAACAAAGACCTTCAACTATACCATACTATCAAATCTTCAGTACAAGATATAATGCATAAAAAATCTGCGTGTCAGAAAAATATTAATATTAAATATGCAATTAGGACTACTGTTAAAATTGAGATTTTAATCTGAAATATATTTGTATGTCAATCTCAAACTGACTTTCTTTTATGTACAAGTGAACAAGAAAACGAACGATTCCGAACAATGATTAATTTTATCGAACAGAAATACATCGAACATTGCATTTTCTAATCTAAACAGCGAAAGACTGAACCTATTTCTCAATATTTCATGTATTACTATCTTTGAATGGGCCGGTACGACTATTGATGACCGACGCTGAATAACATATAGAGCGATGACTTCATTGAGAAAAACACATATGTCTGAATACGTATATTAGCACCTATCATATAGAAATAGTCGGAAGTCCTATTCGGTGAGTGTTGATTATATTAAGAATAAACAGTGCGATTCAGAAAAATCAAAAGAAATGCATAGCAACTTGCAAGTTACCGGATTAGTTTTATTTTGATCTGTTGGAAATGCAAGAAGCCAAAAAACTCAACCCAACTTTTCAAATATTAAGAAACTATCTTTATATGTTCACAAACATGAAATCATACGTTGAATTACTATCAACGGTATCCATTATTTAACCAAGTTTTCCTCGCTATTTATGTATATCCAAACATATAAATCTGTACACGTACTGCCACTGTAGACACTCAACAATCAACGAAAACGTAACGAATTGTAAAATTACATTGTTCGAAAAATATTTTCTGATTCTTACACTTATCGATGACGCGTAAATAAAATTGTCGAACAAAAGCAGAGTATTTCACAGTGCTCCGATTCGATCATACGAAACCACTTTTTTGTTTAGTAAATACATTTTCTCGCCTTTTCAATGATATACTTCAGCGATTAAAATGGTATCTATTCTGTAATGACTTCGTGAAAGAGAATACCGACAAAGTTGAGCCCCTTTCTCCTCTTGCTATGTTTGAGCAACAATCTCTAGAGAGATGCGACAAGGGTAACACCTTAGGATTCGTTTCTAGTTATACCATCATATTTGCCTAAGGAAATGCTAGAGAGAAAATAGTTAGAAACTGTCTTTTACCAAGTAAATCGTTTCGAAAATTTGATTGAATATTGAATTGAAAATGAATAATATTTAACATCTAATAACAGTTCCATTTGGGAATTCAATAGACATGAATGCCTACGCAATCGCTTGATTAATATTAGTACGGGCATTAAATGACGATTTAACATATACTATTTCTTTTAATTTTTTGAAAATTTAATCTATGATAAAATCATTGAAAAAATGATCTCTCATTCTAAATGTATTGAACCTTTACGATTATTTGATATCTTGCAGTTAGCATTAAATTATTCAAATAATTGATCTCATTAATATAAAACTCTTTCGATATTAAAACATATTTTCTAGGTCAAAACTATTTTAAAATCAAGATTTAATGTCAAATTCACACTTCCTCCAACGTTAAGATCAAAACATTTTTCTGAGTATAAAAATCAATTAGCCAGCATTTAGATTGCCACCAAATAATTATAAAAATGATCAATTGATTACATACAATTAGCTGTACAAAGAAATCAGTTCGATAAGCAGGTTGACTTTTTGTCAATATGAAATTTAACTTCACATACATTACAAAAATATGATGTTAGATTACTTAAAAAACAAGTAAATAATTAAGATTTTAGAGTTTGATATCAATTTTTCACAATCATTGTTTATAATTTAGACTTATTAGCAAAGTTAATTAAATGAGTGTTCACCTGTCGATTGATCACTCACCCACTCAAACGGCCGATTAATCACATTAGAGACACAGAAATTGGATCATTTAAAATATCGCTTTTTGCTTTTCTCGCAGGTGTTGTATTATTTATGAATAATTTGAACAAATATAATATCTTGCAACGATCACACAAATAAACTCAACATCTGCTGTGATGTAAATCGTTCGACTAGTAAATGTTTCTGATAGAGGTGTCACTTGAAACTCAGCTTATACGTAACTGAGGGTGTCCTCACATGCGTTGAGTGTGCATTTGAATTAATACTTGTTTTGTTTGAATAAATTTTAAAAGGGTGGGGCAGTTAGTCAGTGAAGAAGCGAACGAAAAAGGAATATGGTAACAGCAAAATAAAGAGAATTCTCGATGACAAGTATTCATTTTTCATGCTGACGTATGCTCTTTTTAACCATTCGATAACGATAATTTGTGTGAAAATAATTGTTTTCTTATATTTACTTTGGGTTGTTTGCGTTTTAAGCGATTCTCAACACGCTCTCAAACGTTTTTCTATCGTTTTAACTGAGCAGAGACGAAAAATTAACGGCAGACTACTCACCTGAAGTCATTTTATTTTTGTTACCAACGAAAGAAACACATCTATTAATAACGCAAAGCAAATCAACTTGCTATTTAAGCAAATATAAAAATTTATTGATTAATTCGATAATCATTAGTTTATTGAAGTATCTGTTTTGAACTACTACTACTACGACTACTCAAAGCATGCTAAGTGGAAGATTCAGTCCAAGAAACTCAACACGACTAATAACGAAAAATGCGACTAAACCTATACCAACCGGACCATCACTCGAGTTCCGATGGTCAACAGCTGTAATAGATCAGGCGACGAAAGCTGTTCATAGACCACCAAATCCACTTCCCCTACTAATCGAGGATTCTTATCGACACAAACCTCACATAGGCAAGTCAACACGCTCAGGTACATACAGCAATTTAGATTCTTCCAAAATAATATGCCAAAAACAGCAGCAACAATAAACTATGCAAAGCGGCCGAGGACATGTTACTTTTTAACAATTGATTTTTCTTTAGATTGTGGTTCGTCGGTTTCGTCTTCCTTATCGATGAAGAAGTCTCCCCGCCGTTTACCGCATCCGTCCAATAAACGACAACCGACTACAACCAAGCAAAATATACCAGACAAATCGATGCATCCATCTGTTGATCGTTGTCCTACGCCGTTTCAACCACTCTTACTTAATTATTCACAATTGCATCGGTCTAATCAACAACGAGAACATGATCGACCTTCTCAGTCTCGCGCGTCTATTGATAAATTAAGCGATGTCTCGATTGTTAAAAGAAAATTCTCGGTCGCCACCAGTTCATCCACGGTATTACCTTCACTCGTCCAAGAAGTTCGCTTACCAACTAATCATCTTGTACGTTTACGCAAGCCTCAGCTACGTCTTTTAAATATTTCTGACAAATACATGCATGAAGCAAAGGAACTTTATTTCCATGCTACATCAAAAGTATTTGTACCACGCATGTCAACTATGCAAGCTTCTTAACAGTATCATTGTTATATATACGAATAACACCTATCTATTATTTATTTGTAAAGAAAAGCTTTTATTTTTTTTATCTCCGCCTGAAAGATCGCTGAGTATGTTTTTTCCATAATAACATGAGCATAACAAAGGTTATTTTCATATGATATCCATATAAAAGTTGCATTGATTCTATTTTCAAATACTCCGAAATGATTCGTCGATTGTCACTTACTACTCTTGTCTAGTAATATCATATTTGAGTCTCTAATTGTTGAATGAGACAATCACAAATAATGAGCATGAATAAAATACGAAAAATCGTACATTTCATATGATCGATATTGTCAAAGAATTAACTGTTAATAAATGAAAAAGAAAAGTGTTATGGAAATTTTGATCTGAAAAATGATTTGTTTATTTGTAAACAAAGAATGATTTCTACCCAATTAGATCGATAGAACCATCGAATACCTATCAGTACCATTACTGGTATGGTGGTAAATCAGCGAAAAACGTTTTAGCGAAAAAATTTTGAGCGAAAAGTTTTTGAGCGAATTGTGAAGGGTAAAACAGAGAAGTGTAAAATAGAGAAATCTTCAGTTTAACTTAACATGAAAAATAATGTGTTTTTTAAATTTAAAAGAAATGTAATACATGAGCATCAAATGATATAAAAAACTACCGATTTAGAAATAAAGTATTTGAAGGGTGTGTGTGGGTGTGGGCA